CCCTGAGGAGTGTCTAACGACTCTCTCTCTCTCTCTCTCTCTCTTGGAAACATTTCCTGGTCTCTGCTGGTAGGAGGCCACGCATTTTTTATCATAACAGGAAAGGCATCTGGATTTTCTGCCAGCCAGAGCAAACTGCGTTTTGGAGAGCTTCTAGCGTACATAGGGGATAATCGCACAAGAACCATCTTGGCTGTGCACATCAACTGAAACGCGGTCAGATACGTAAACAGAACTGTGAATATGTGCTGCTCAACTAAAGCGGACTAATTTCTTCATATCTGCCTCCTCCCTCAGGTCACCTGGGCCACGGCCCCACTCACTTCTATAATTCTATTCCATCTTGCATTTCTTGTGATTCACATCTACAATTATAAATCTAGTAATCTACAGTCCAGAATGATGAAAGAGAAGTTAGAGAACCCAGGCAAGTCAGACCTCGCACCTCTGACTGAACTCCTGTGCCCTGAAGTTCAGCCACAGGCCCACAGGTGCGTGTCTGAGATTTGACTGGGTTTTGTCTTTTTTTTTTGTGTGTATGTGACAAGTCCCCTCCCCCCCCCCCCCCCCCCCCCCCCCCCCCCGCCCAAAAAAAAAAACACATTCAATCTTATTGCCAATCACACAAACGCTACGCGGCCAGGGACCTCACGATTCAACCCGGAGTTATCCTGGCAGCATCAGTCAGTTCAGCTTATTTGGCGAGAAGGCCAAATCATAGAATCAAATTCACAGCAAAAAAAAAAAAAAAAAAAAGTAACCAGATCAGACTCACTCTTATCGCCCAGTGACGCCCACAACCGCTATCCTCCCAGCCTACCGTTCGAAAGGCTGTTTTGTATGGGACTGATTCCGTGTACCACATTTAAACTTGTCCCGTATATTAGTATGTGACAAGTTTAAATGTGGTACAGGGAATCAGTCACATACAAAAACAAACATCCTTTTCAGATTTTGAAACAAAAAAAAAATGAAGCACACCTGAAAGGCATGCATGCCCTGGGGCAATCTTCACTCACCCAAATTGCTTGTTTTTTACCGAAGACGACAGACAGTCCAAAGTCAAAGAACCCAGGGGGAACAAGAACAAAACAAAGGGTTAGAAAAAAAAAGAAAAAACGAAAGAACCCAGGGGAATGACACAGAAACAAACAGAAAAAAATTGGGGAAGATATATCAGGAAAACAAATTATTTTTAATGTGAGACAGGTGTGCCCTGGTCTGACCCAATTGACGGCGGGCGAGGGGGGTGGGAATTGTGAAGAAGAAAAGAACATCATCGCGCAAGGATGACATGCATAAGTCGAGAAATGGT